CAGCCGAAGCTGCACTTCTGTGGCCTCCAGACCAGGTTAGTGCCCTGGTGCACGCTCTGGGGGCACCGGGACTTGCCACGTCCAGCACTCAACACAGTGGTGCTGAATTGACTAGCTTGGTGCAGCCTTGCTCATGCTTGTGCTCACACTCTGAAAACGCCTCCAGATCAGGGCTGCTGTCTGTCTTGCTCAGCCCTGAGTCCCAGGCCTCGGCACAGCGCTGGGCCTGCGGGACACTCTCAGTGCACTGGGTAATGCATGAATGAACGAGTGGGCGAATACTACTTAGGCATACTTTTGGGAAGATCTCCAGACGCCTTCCTTTGCTTGCTGTAGGTTTTTCTCTGCCCCTGTGGAGCCAGCCCTATTTCTGATGTTTTCCCAACCAAACAGCCTGCCTGACCCAGGCGCCTCTGCAGACTCGGCCCCGCTCTGTGACCTGCTCCTCTGCAAAGAATTTAGGCGAAGTAATCTGCAGACTGCGCTTTAATTTTGCCAGACCGCTCTAGAAGCCAGGCATGCACTGAAAGATCAAACCAAAGTCTGAGATAGGGCTTTTAATTCTTCAAAACATGTATCAAAATATGGAATTCACCCTTTGGCTTTGCGTCCACTCAGTGGGACTTCCTTCGGCTGGTCTCACCTCTCACCCCTGACAGGCTGCCTCCTGTGGTCTCCACAGGGACGCCTCCTCTGCAGTGTCCTGTTTTGGACCCTTTCTTTCCTTTCCTTTTTTTTTTCAGACCTCAAAGAACGGCTTTATTGATACTGCACAGCGGGGCTCAGCTGCCCATGGCCCTTTCTGGGCAGGGTCTGTGTTTGGCTTGTGCGTAGTTCTGAGTGAGACAGGACTAAGGACTAACCCTGGGATTTCTACATTTAAGCACCAAGGCTTGAAGCTCTGGTGCATCTCAGGGCTCTTGCTGGAAGGGGTCATTATGTGGCCTTCTGAAAACCTGATGTGTTTTAGGGCACCAAGGAGGAGTGGTTTTGGCAAACAGCTTTTGTGAACTGACTTGTTGCAGCTCTGATCTCGGGCCTCTGGAGAGCTGGAGGAGGAAGCTGAGACCGGGAGGCCCCGCCTGCCCGTTCTGATGCTCCAGCTGCCTTCCCATGTGTGGAATCCCCAGTTCTGGTAACCCTGCGACTTACACCCCCTAGTGGTGTGACAAGATATAACTTCTCTTGATAGAAAGGACAGAGTTAAGCCACAGCTCTCCGCTCTGAATTGTGTGGCTGACCAGAATCTTCCAATTGCAAATTAGGGTTGGAATGAGATGAGCTGGTGGGTCCTCTGAACGTGAATGGGAAGAGGGTTCAGAGGTCGGCGGAAGCTGTGTTGTCTGGAGTTCCCTCCCGGGTGGGTCGGCCTGGGACCTGCCAGAACTGAGATTCTGAAGATGCTCTGCTGACCAAGTCCCAGAAACAAATGTGAGAACAGAACACGATTAAAAGAAAGCAGGAAGGATAAACAAAAAGGAAGGAAGATGAAACAAATTCAAACTAATATTGAATGTAAACTGTAATTTTAAAGAATTTAAAGATTCAAAAAAAAGTGAAGACTTTATAAAAACAAATAAAAAAGATTGACTAGAGAAAAAAATAAAGGAAAAGAAGAGCAAACCAAATATCCAATATTTGAAATTCTTTAAAAAAATTTTTTTTTATTGATTTCAGAGAGAGGAAAGGAGAGGGAAAAATAGAAACATCAATGATGAGGGAGAGTCATTGATCAGCTGCCTCCTGCCCTCCCCAATGACAATCTTCCATCGACTGCCTCCTGCATGCCCCCTACTGGTGATCAAGCCTGCAACCTGGGCATGTGCCCTGACCAGGAATTGAACTGTGATCTCCTGGTTCATGGGTCAATGCTCAACTACTGAGCCACGCTGGCCAGGCCAGTATTTGAAATTCTTTATCCTGTTGCCAGGATAGCAGAACAGTCCTACGCCTTCCAGCCTCCTGATGTTATATCTGGTTTTTCCGGTTTGGGGCTGGTGGGGTTTTTCCTTCTGTTTTGTTATGTTTCTTTTTCTGCAGGACCTGACTGGCCTATGGTCTACCCATTCGGGGTTTTCATGAGTCACCTTATAACAGGCTGTGTGCTGTGTTGCAATGACTGTTGTTTGGTGGGTCAGCCCAGACGCAGGCTTAGTATTGCTCCACTGCTGTACACCTTCCTCGCGGCAGAAACTAGCTGCACTCTCTAGCTCTAGTAAAGCTTCCAAGCACTGAGGCACTCTCCCATCATGTCAACTATCTCTTAGGACAGTGATGGCGAACCTTTCGAGGTCGGCGTGTCAGCATTTTGAAAAACCCTCACTTAACTCTGGTGTTGTGTCACATATAGAAATTTTTTGATCTTTGCAACCATAGTAAAACAAAGACTTATATTTTTGATATTTATTTTATAAATTTAAATGCCATTTAACAAAGAAAAATCAACCCCCAAAAATGAGTTCGTGTGTCACCTCTGACACGCGTGTCATAAGTTCGCCATCACTATCTTAGGACCTGGGTTTGCAGACTGGCTGGCATCGGTGGGGAGAAGTCAGCAGGGAATCTCAGGATGTGTCTGGAAAGTGGAAAGAAGGTCGGTCATTCATTGGGGAGACAAAGAAGGTCACTCTGGAGTTCTCTGTTTTGTTTTTTAAAGATTATTCTCTAGTATGGATGTGCCCAGGTTTCTCAAAACAGGAGCTGTAAACTCCCAAAGGCTTTGGCCATCTGACAGGGGTCCCATTTCCCTGCTCACCTCTTTGTTCTGCCTCTTCTGTGTCTCGGAAGAGTCCTCATATCAGAGACCCTCTGCCTGCCCGCAGGCCCAGCCCAGACCTCCCCCTCAGGGCCTGTGCTTTGGGAAGTTATTTTAGGAGATGGTGGTGTGGGTGCAGGGAAGCTGGCGTGCAGTTTAGAATCTCTGCTGCGTTCTGCAGGCCAAAACCATTCAATCAAACGCACAGGGAAGTTTCAATACTGTCCTGGACTTCCAGGATTCATCTTCTTGCGTCGTGTTGGTCTTCTTTGGCTTCAAGAACAAGTAAGACCAGGGGGAACCTGCAGAGACCAGCAGGGCATCGTGAGAAGATCTGGTTTGCAGGTATTTGCAAATTAATTTTGGCATTCCTGGTTCCTCAGTGCTGAAAACAAGACAGCAGGCACCAAGTGGAGGCACTTATTCTAAGCACCGTGTCATCAAACCGGACTTGATTACAGCTTCAGCTCGCCCAGAAATGGAATCCTGCACCAGCCAATCAGGAATCGCCTGATCAGCACTGGTTAGATAACTGGCCGATGAGCCCCTGCCCTCCCAGAGGAAAGTGACTTTGCAATCACTAGTCCTGCCAAGTATGACTTCCTGGTTCCCGCCCCTTCCGCCCAAGTCTTCCATTCTGTACAGCTCCTCAGAGCGCCTTCCCATCTGGCAGATGGGGTGCTGCCCAGGTCACGAATCACTGAATAAAGGCAATAAGATCTTCAACATTTCTCCAGTTGAGTATCATTTTTTAACATGACATATGTGTGTTTCTTTGAATTCTCCTTTGAACTGGTTAAAATGGCATACTGCTTCCCTCATGAATGAATTCAATAAACTCTCGATGTGTTTTCATTTTGTATTTGTCTGAGAGGCATGGTTTTTTACCTTTTTAACAAATATCTTTTAACATTCTGTACCCAATATGCTCAATACCTTTCTAGGTATTTTATGTGCTTATTTAACAAACACACAGCAGGCACTTTTAGTTGCCATGTGCTATTTTAAGTGCTTTGTAAATGTTAATTAATTCAACCCTCCTAACAGCCCTATTTCATTTGAACTTCCCTTCAGCCCTAATTATCCCCTCTGAATGAACAGAGGCCATAAATGCTGCCGCGGTGGTGTTACCTGAACTGTCTGAACTGGGAGCTCGGGGCAGGCCTGGGTGAGGCTGAGGCGTGCTGGCCGCCCTGTGGGCACTGGGGATCCCTCGAGTCTCAGTGATCTGAGACAAAGAAGGGCCCCCGACTTTATTCTGAGGCAGCTGCATCTTTACAGAGCAAAACGATTGCATGGACAGAGGGGGGACTATGATGAATGGGCTCCACGAAGGACCCGGCTGCGGCTGCGCCCTACGTGGGGTGCTGCGGGGCGTGGCTCTGCAGCGCAGAGGCCCTCGGCCAGCATGTCACCGTGTTCCTACCAGAGGTCAATTAAAATATCGCTCCACTTCTTTCCTCTTGGCGCCTCTTCCTTCTTGGAACATATATCTGAGCTTGTTTGTTTTTTAATCCGTGAAACAAACTTCGTTATAAAACAAATAAGTCATGGGGATGTATGTACAGCAAGGTGACGAAAGTTAAATCATAAGAAAAAATTTATAACTATGTGAGGCAATGAATGTTAACTAAACTTCTTGGGGCGATCATTTCACAATATATACAAATATCAAATCATTATGTTGTACATCTGAAACAAATGCAATGTTATATGTCAATTATATCTAAAAAAAGGACAGACATTGTCACCATGCTCGTGGGAGTGTCAAGGTGACCGTGGGAGGTAGCATGGGACAGGAGACAGGGCCCAGGTGGGAGCTGCTGGACTTGCGTTCCAATTCTGGGTCTGTAATTTACCGAGGAATAAAGTTAGATTCTGTTTAAATTAGATGAGCATTTAACTCTCAGTGGGATTGAATAAGTGCTTCCTTTTACTTTCCCACAGGAGATGAGAAAGGTCTCAACAGGCCGTGGAGCTGGGGAGCAGACCAGAGGGGCCCCGGTGTTCGGAGAGGGGGAGAGAAATTGTTTGGGAATTGGCTGAGAAGACGGTTTAGCTGCAGGTGCCGCTGCCGCGGGGAATCCTGCAGCCCGCTGGCTGGCACGAGAGAGCCAGTAAATCAAGTTCAGGAAGCAGCTGGGCAGATGAGGACAGAGACTGGCAGCTAGACCAGCGGCTTTCCTGTTCCTGTTCCAGGGCAAAGGTCACTCTGCCTGGAATCATCTTTTTTTTTCTCTCCCGGCTTTGTTTACCTTATAAGGAAGTCATGAACGTGCCCTGTTCTCTTCCCCTCATTTCTACAAACAGTTCCCAGAAGCAGAACCTTCATGGTGAAAGATGGCCGGGAACTCAGTTTTGCTGGCTGCTGTCTCTGTCCTCTCTGCCTGTCAGCAAAGTAAGAGTCCAGCAGTGTGTGTGTGTGTGTGTGTGTGTGTGTGTGTGTGTGTGTCAGAGAGAGAGAGAATAAGAGAAAAGGAGAGAGAGAGAGAGAGAGAGAGAGAGAGAGAGCTCCACTTGTCTCACACTGTATGTGTCAGCAACACTGAGATCTTATTTTCTCACAGATACCTGGCTGTCTCTTACATTTGCAATTTCCTCAGGAGTTAATGCTAATGATAAAATAGTGAGAGTGTGTGTGTGCATGTGTGTGTGTGTGTGTGTGTGTGTGTGTGTGTGTGTGTGGTCGAGGGAGGTTGGTTTCTCGGTTGCATACTTGCTGGTGCCCCTGTGTGCTCCGAAGACCATAGTCTGCCCAGCGCCCCTCTGTGGTGATGACCCACAGTTCATGCCAGCATTCCAAGGGTGCTAACCAGGATGAGGGGCAAGCAGACTATAAATATTAATTACGAGTGTTCCAAAGGTAGCGTTGTACCTGCCTGTGAACTCTGGCTGTGGTTTCTTAAACTTTGATCTTTTAATTAATGTGTTTTCTGAAATACACTGCTTATGGCAGGCCTGAGTATCAGGTTAAAAGGAATCTCCTGCAGAGATAGGAGCCTCTGATTCAGGACTGAATTCTAAATTCCAAAGCACCTCCCCACTAGGATTACTCAATATCCCAGTCGCCTGGTTAGATGAGGGCTTTTCTCCATGGGGATCACAGGTGCTCAGTTCCTAGCCTCTGACCTTCTAAATGGGGAAGAGGGTCTGAGCACTGCTGGGCAAGACTTCGAACCAAGTGCACATTTCTTCAGCCTGCCAAGGCTGTTTGTGCCCGCAAACCGGGCAGGGCTGTGGGCTGCTCGAAGGCACTGCAGTTGAGGATAAAGTCCAGCTTGCACATGCCCTCAGTGCCTTGCCTAGCCAGTTTGTTCTGTGGATTTAAGGAAATATTACACCATTGTGTGGTCTGAGTCACAGCCTTTCGTGGAGGAGGGCAGGATGTTTGTGACCCATTTACGAAGCACTTAGGTCTGAAGCGCCCCGTGCTGGCCCCCTGGGTCGCATAGACCTACATGGAGCCACTACCCACCTTGTGACCCTCATGCCCACACTGCAGGGAGCACAGGAGTGGGGCCCTGGGCACCCCGTTGACAGAGCCCGTGTCATCCTCACAGGAGGCTTCTGTGGCTGGTGGGTGCGGGGACAGTGTGAACTGGGCCAGAAGGTTTGGTGGCCGGGTGCCACGGATGGGAGTGGGAAGAGAGGAGAGGAGACTGCAACAATGGTGATTGGGGGTGGACAGGGAATGTTGGGTGATGGGTGGGAGGGAGGGCGGAGAGAGAGAGAGAGAGAGAGAGAGAGAAGGGCTGTTCAGTTGGCATAAGAACCAGAATTTGTAGCTCCTACAAGAGTCTGCTGTTTATGGAGTCAGGACCCCATGTGTCGTGGTAGAAGCAGCTCAGGTTTTGAAGACAGTCTTGAATCTGTCTAGTCCAGCCATGTCTCAGTCAGGTGGCCCTGGCCAGGATGCTGTGACCTTCAGTGTCCTCATCAGCAAGGGTGAAGCAGGACCCTGGGTAGGACATGCCCACACAGGAGTGGAAAGGCTGAATCACATGGTCTCACTCTGCCTAACTAACAAATCCCTCCAAATGGTTTTTTAAGTGGTTGTACCATTTTACATTCCCACTAGCTGTGGTAAGTGTTCCAGTTACTCTTGTATCCTCACTTGTCTGTCTCTGTAAACTAGTATGACCTGTCTTTTAAATTTTACATATTTTAAAAAATATTTTTATTGGTTTCAGAGAGGAAGGGAGAGAGAGTTAGAAACATCAATGATGAGAGAAAATCATTGATTGGCTGCCTCCTGCACGCCCCCTACTGGGGATCGAGCCTGCAACCTGGGTACATGCCCTTGACGGGAATCAAACCTGGGACCCTTCAGTCCACTGACATGGTCTATCCAATGAGCCAAACCAGCTAGGGCAAATTTTATACATTTTAATAGGTATGCAGTGGTATCTAATTGTGGTTTAAATGAGCACTTTATTAATGAATAATAATGTGTCAGATTTTTAACATCTATTCCTTTTTACTTGCAGGTTATTTTGCTATGCATGTAGCAAAAGCAAGATTAAAATACAAAGTTATGCCTCCAGCAGTCTCTGGGTCACCTGAGTTTGAGAGAATATTTCGTGCACAGTAAGTCATGCTTCTCCACCGCTCAGGGATCCGGGCTGGCCACACACTACACACACACACACACACACACACACACACACACACACACCCCGCTCTGATGTGGGGAAAGATGTGCAGAGAAGAGAGAATCACTCTTCCCGGCCAACACTCTTTTCATGACCCTTGAAGCTTGAGGTAGCCAGTGTGTGGAGTCTCTACCCACCTTTATTACAGCTTCGGAGGGGCCTTTACAAAAAGGCTGGGCTCTGATGGCTCTACTCCCTTCCCTGAATTTCTCCTGAGATGGTTCTCAGCCCTAGCCCAGTCCTTGCCTTAGAGTGTAAGGTTTAGGATAAGTCTGTCCAAATCAGATGACTAGTAAAGCCATTTCGGCTTTATCCGAGGCGGGATCCCTGGGGATAACCACTTCATCCCGAAGCCTAATGGCCACCTGTTCTGGTGTGAAGGGCGGGCTCCCCTGAGCTCTGCCGGTTCCCGAGAGGGGGGATGCACTTTCTTCTCTGGCTCTCCTGGACCAAGCACGGAGGCCCGGCAGCCTCCCTTAGAGGTCTCACGGCCTTGGCTGTAACGAGAATGCTGCCTTTTCCCTACCTCTTTCTCCTGCTGCTTTGCTCTAGGCATAGTCAGGAAGCTTGGTGTTCTGGCGAATTCTCCCTCTAAGTGGAATGTGACATCTCATGGCAATCAGTGCAGGGTCCCTCTGAGCACCACGGAAGTACCTGTTTCCTGTCTGAGGGGAGCCTCAGCTTGGATATTCGTTTGCCAAGCAAAGATGCTTATTATGAAGCCTAACTTACCCAGTTACCAGCCCAAGGCCCCTCTCCAGAGCCCCATCCAATTCCCCTTCTTTTCCTACACAGATTGAGGTGACTATCTCTAGAGTTTCCCAGCCTTTTACCAGAACACATTTTTTCCCCCAATTGTGAAAATAGCAGTTATAACTTCACCAAGGGCCATTCCTTCATGCTATTGCTCAGCTTAGAAACTTCTATGTAGTTTACTTTGAGCACCTCGATTCCTTTAGATTAAAGGCTTTTCTAAATCTGAAAAGTAGATCCAAGTTTTAAATGGATCTTGCTGCAATTTAAATACATTTCCTCGGATTCGATCCTCACTGGAAGGAAGTAGCTGAGTACCTCACTCTTCTTCATACACTTGAGGATCATTTACGGAGTGTCTTTCATCTTTTGCATGTTGAGGCTAGGGAGCACGAATTCTTTAGCTGTTTTTTCTCCAATCATTGCAAAAATTAGGTTGTTATTTTTAGACTAAAACTTTTCATATTACTTCTAAGCCAGGAGTCTAGAAGTATATGTAGTGGGTTTCATGTTTCTGGGTAAGATAGAGGAATTGCTTCTTACTTAGTTCTTGTTAAAGTATTCTCATTTACTTCATGCTAAATTATTCAGTTCCTGGTCCAGAATTAACTGCCACAAGGACCAAGTAAACCCAGTCGTCACGAATCTGAGTACTCTTTGTAATATTACCCTCTTCTTACTCTTGTAGTTCTGTAATTTTGTTGTTGTTACCATTTCACTAGTTTTTTACAGTCGTTTTGAATTCTAATTATGAAATTCAGGAATTATAACAAGTGACCTTAATGCATATCTAAAAACTACAGAGAAAAGGAAAATTTAGAAAGATAATACTTTTTCAAACATTCTGCGCTACTGGGATGATGGGAATGTGGGTCACCTAATTTTGTAGTAAGTGCAAATAAGTTAAATGAGAGAGACCGTAAGCACATCTCCATTTTTCTTCCACGTGTACTCATCTTGGGCACTAGCTGAGAGCACAGAATGTACTTACCACTAAATGAGGGCTTGAGATCTCTCCAAGATGAAAAAATGACTCTAAATGGTGAGCTGTTTGAACTCTAGCCTCCTGCTCCACAGGCCACCAGTCTTAGTCAGCTTGCGCTGCTGTAACAAAACACCACGGACTGCGAGGCTTAAATAACAGACATTTGTTTTTTCCCAGTTCTGAGGTTGCTCGGCTAAGACCAAGGTTCTGGCTGATTCGATTTTCTGGTGAGAGTTCTCCTTTCGTGGCTCGCCGTGTCCTCACGTGGCCTTTCCTCTGTGCATGTGTGCCTGGGTGCTGGGAGAGTGAGGCCGGTGGGTGCCAGAGAGCTCCGGCTATTTCTTCTTATAAGACACCAGTCCTATGGGATCAGGGCCCTTCTGCCCTTGTGTATCCTTAAGTGCTTCCTTACACCAACATATGGGTGGTAGGGCTTCAACATATGAATTTTGGGGAGGGCACACTCAGTCAGTGCCACCACCAAAAGTGTCTGTCGCACAGGCTGGGTGATTTCAGGGAGTCAGGGGACGGCTGGCATTTGATGAGCTGCAAGCCTCACTCCCTCTCTGCTCACCCTGTCCCTTGTCAACCACATCGCTGACAAGTGCTGGTTAGAGTCATGTTCTCCTGCCACCCCCCACAACCTCCCTCGGGTGTCCCCACACAAGGGTTACTTGACAAGGAGCAATTTAGATAGTTACGCGTCTATAAAAGATTAACTCAGCAACCTCTCATCCCCAAGACTGTTCTGAGTGTATTAGCCTGGTGCTCCGACCCCCAGTCAGAGTAATAATCCAAAAGACGTCCCAGGGTCGAAAGCCAGCGGCTGGGTCCTGGGTCCTGGGGCCTCTGTTAACAGTGCGAGCTGCCCGCTGCTTGGGAAAACAGCCATGAAGTAAAAGGAGGGAGGAAACGCAGCAAACAGAAACTCGAAAGAGGAAAACCTACGAAAGCACCTTTAAGTTGTTGTGTTTTTTAGTTTTTAAAAGATATCACACTATGAGCACGGCACTACAAATGTTCTATGTCTGATCAGGTTTTCTCCTTTGGCGAATGGTCCAGATTTCCTATGAGCAAGATTGTTATAAGCAAAGTTGCCTGTTCATTAGAAAACTCTCTGTCAAATCACCAAGATGGTCAGAAGTGATGTGTACCCTGAGAGGGTGCACTAAGTACTCTGCTGGGAAGGGGGGGGGTATTCAAACTTCTGTTTATACTTAAAATTTCATCCTTTCGTTTCTATTTTTTGTGTGTTTTATAATACATATGACATTCTTTCCAAGTCAATTGTATTAGCTGTGCTGATGGATCAACCCCATATTCCCAATGGTTGGACACAATGGACGTTTCCTTCTTGCTCATGTCAAGTCCTATATGGGTGTTCCTATTGGGTGGCCTTCCACGTGGTCATTCAGAGGCCTCAGCTCCTTCTGTCTAAGGGGTCTTTCCCCATCCAGGTCCTCAGCGTTCTCCCCATTCACCAGCGAGTGGGGGAAGGTGCTTGGCACACCCTCGACTTAACCATTTGGCTCAGAAGTGACATATTTCACTTTCATGCACTTTCCATTGGCAAGAAGGGGCACCGCCTGAATGCAAGCGGGCTGGGGGTGTCGTCCCGGGCTGGGCAGCACCCACTCAGTCCATCGGCCGTCAGCTAGCACCTCTGCTGCCGTAGGCATGTGTATGTTTTTATGAGGGCTGTAGAGCTGTTAGGGCTATGTGATGAAAACCATTTGGAGACTAATGTTTCAGGAACTGTCAGAGTTTGGGTTGCCTTGCCATAAATTGATTCTTTTTTCCCCCCCAAATGAGGTAAACTTTGCAGTACCCTTAATGACTGAGACAGGGTCCCGACAGCATTTAGTTTGGGACTGCTCTCCCTGCTCCCAGCCCTCAGATCCAGGTGGGAATCTGCAGAGACCACACATCCTAAGCCTCATGGCCCAGACTCCCTTGGACTTGGATGGACCATGAGGGTTTTAGCAGCCATAACGACTCAGTCTCAACAGGCTCCCCCAGGCCGGCCTTTAGGATGACCACCTAAAGTTCCTGGCACTTTCTTGGTGTGGGCACTCAACGTTCTGGGTCCCAGGAAACCCCTTAGTTCCAGGCCAACCAGACAATTTACCAGGTGGTCCTGGTTTTAAAGCTGAAAGTCCCATGTTCTGAAAACCTTCCCCGTCCAGGGCAGACCAGGACGGTTGTCCACCAACTGTCCTTTCAGCAAAGACTCTTTCTGTTCTCAGCCCTGTGTGGAAGGTGAGGTGCATGGTGACATCCGCCTGAAACAAAGGAGAACCTCCCCCTGCTCTTTTCATGGGAAGCTTAAATATCAGCGGAGCACAGGATCATGGTGCAAAGAGGGCTCTAACCAGCCAATGAGGGACAGGCTTAGCTTCCCTCAGCGGGCGTGTAATCAAAGGTGCCTTCTGTTCCCACAGTAAGGGACATTGACACAGCTGCTGCCAGCTGTTTTCTGTCCCATCTGGAGATTTTCCTGAGGACCTCCTATATCAGTGGTTATCAACCTTCCTAATGCCGCGACCCTTTAATACAGTTCCTCAGGTTGTGGTGACCCCCAACCATAAAATTATTTTCGTTGCTACTTCAAAACTGTAATTTTGCTACTGTTATGAATCATAATGTAAATATCTGATATGGAGGATGTATTTTTATTGTTACAAATTGAACATAATGAAAGCATAGTGATTAATCACGAAAACAATATATTCAATATGTGTTTTCCGATGGTCTTAGGCGACCCCTGTGAAAGGATCATTCGACCCCCAAAGAGGTCGCGACCCATAGGTTGAGAACCGCTGTCCTATATGAAGATGACAGAATAGATCTGCCTTTATGTCCACAAGAGACCAATAATTATTCTCATTTTGGTAATTGTGATCCGTTATTGAAAGGATTGTTAAGAACAAATTTTGAGAGTTTGGTCCCTTTGAGTTCAACAAAGTCTGTTGACAGCTTACCGTGAAGAGCTGTCCTGGGACACATCCACACCTGGGCCACTTCGCCGTGGTGGGCACGTGCTGGAGGTTCTCATGAGCAGGTAGGATGGGATTCCAGGTACCTTAAGGCCAAGCAATCCCGGTGTTCTCGTCAGGCAGCAGCAGAGAGGACTGTCAGTAAATAGCAGGGCCCCAGGACTGGCTTAAGGCAGGTCAGCAAAGGAGGGGCCAGGGGAAAAGTATAGTCACTGGGACAGGAGGTCAGGGGAGACGTCAGTGACAGCTCACAGGGGCAAGGGGCTCATTTCCTGGGGAAGGAGGTGCCAGGGATATGGTGCTAAACTGGCTCAATGCTCCAGGCTTTGGCCCCCAGGATCACAAATGCCTGTTACCTTCCCATCCTGACCTGAATCTGAATAGCTTCCAACAAGCCCTGCTCACTAGGACCTCAGCCCTCCTCCTCCTATCTTCTCAGTTACTTCCCGGAGCCCAGCGGGTGTGTGCAGGGGCACAGCCCTCCTGGCCAGCGCTGTAAGGCATGGCCGTGCGCCGCCCTGTTAGAGTCCTCCCCAAAGCCTCGTGGGTCGTGTGGGTGAGAGCCCCATTGGCTTTCAGAGCTCAGTGTGTGGGGGGCCGGGCCCTTAGGTTGGGGTGCTGGGTGTGCGGGCCTCACAAGGAAGCTGGGAGTTGAGGGTTCCCTCCTGATTGTAGGGCGCTGTGCTGGGGGTGGTGTTTATGGTGCGAGTGTGTCTGGGCCTTTTCTTATAAAAATAATACAGAGTGGGCATTTCCTCATGTGACCGAGGTGTAGGAGCCACTCAGCTGGTGTCCGGACTTTCGGAGGGAGTTGCTCTGTGTGCAGCTGTACATACCACGGGAGGAGAGAGGTTCGGGGGCCCCTGATGTCACCCTCTGGGTTGCAAAAACCAAACCAAGCCACTTTTTTTTCCCAATTAAAAATATCACTTATGGGCTTCACCAGCCACTACCAGCTACTTCCGGGTCAATTGCCCATCACCTCAATTTAAGTGCTCAAGCTTTTAAGGCTTCTTTAAGAAAGCATGTGGACAGCACGGTGGTGATTGCAGGGGGAGGAGGAGTGGCGGTGGAGGAGGGCATAGAGGGGAGAAATGGCGATGGAAAAAATAAAATTAAATTAAAAAATAAAGCATGTGTGATCACTGATAATCCTGTACATGATGACTCTCCCACCAAGATCCACTCGAGACCTCATTACGAATTACATTAAAGTTCTTTCTGGTTGTGATATTGTCAGCAAAGAACACAGCCAACCTCGCCAAGATCTCTGGAAGGTGGAGGAATATGATGCATCATTTTCCCTTTCCTAGGTGCAGATGCATCAACTATAGTTCCCAGAGAACTGTTCCCTTTTGCTTAAAATGGTATCAACGTTTCCATCCAAGTCTTCTGTGAACAGAGGCAATCTGAGTTGACATGAAGACAGAGCTTCAGAATCTGGAGCTGACACGGTCTCCCTTCGATTCTCTGTGAGGCCCCGTCAAATTGGGCTCAGTGGACTCTGTCTGTCCTCTGTACAATGGGAATGAAATATGCTCATTCATTTACCTCAGGAGGTTTTAGGGAAATTATTTAAAGACCATTTAAAAAAATGTGCCGAGTCACTTAAGTGGAAGCAATGGATATGAGGGAATTTGGGGGAAGAAATATCTTTAATATGAATGGGGTTATTTTCTGGGTTCTTCAGATAAGATAGAGAATACTTTTTAGGCTCAGGATCATGACAATCTCAAGGCCTTTCTTATGGAAAAGAGCATGATTCATTTCTACTTCTGGCAACTTGTAAGTAGGAGAGTGATTCCTGGCCCTGCTCTGAGGTTTAAACAATGTTTCAGTCTCACCTCAAAAGGCTCACTCTAGCCCTGGCCGGTGAGGCTCAGTTGGTTGAGCGTCATTGTCCTTTGCACCAAAATATCACTGGTTCAATTCCCAGTCAGGGCACATGCCCAGGCTGTGGGTCCGGTCCCGAAAGTCTTAGTGTGTATAGGAGGCAACCAATCAATGTCTCTCTCTCACATGGATGTTTCTCTCTCCCTTTCCCTTCCTCTCTCTTTAAAAATCAGTAAACACATATTTTTAAAAAGATTCATTTTACATGGAAGGGTCATTTAAGCTTTTTATGTAAATTCTTATATTATTTTTGTGAAAAGACAATGAACAGTTTACCTCTAGATTGAAACTCCATACTTTGGCGTAGAGTTTTCTCATAAAATAACTCATGTCTTTACCTTTTTCCTGCAGACAAAATGGTGTGGAGTTTTACCCGCTATTCATGATTACACTGTGGATGGCTGGATGGTATTTCAACCAAGGTAATTGCAAAACACATTCCACTCTGTTCCAAGGAGGATTATGGTTCTTGGAACGATTGAGGGGTAGACATGCAGCCACACATCTACGAGATTGTTTTAAACAAAACCAGCAGCGTCTCTGCTCATCAAAGAGCACTGAGCTGCAGACAGGCTAACTCTGCTCTATGCTAATTTAATTCAATACTTTTTTTTAAAAAAAGTTGAAACAAACGATATGTTGGGCACTTCAGAATAAAAACAACACAACATTTGTGTTGACTTCCAGATCTTGCGTTAGTTTCTTGACCTCCTTTGGATCATGTCCCAGACCCCCTGCAGGAGTGTGTCCTGACCTGCAGTTGATAGTGGGGGAGACGGATGGCCTGTCTCAGCTTAGCTCCATGTCACAGTCCCTCACTGTGGTTTCCCAGCAGAATGTCAACTCCCTGAGGTCGGGAATTTGCCCCATTTGCTGCTGTATCCCCAGGGCCTACTGAAGGGGATTGAGGGGCTCTTGCATGAAAGACTAACAGCCGTAACCAAGACTGATGTCTAAAATCCCAAGCCATGGAAGGACCCAGTTGAAGCAGAATCTGAGCCGCTGTTTATTCATGTGTCATCTCACGCCCCTGCTGTGGGCGTCCTTCCCTGGGCGGCAGTGATGAGAGCGGTAAAGCCACAGTGGTGACCGACCTGGACTGCTGGCCTTAGCACTGTGGTCAGAAGCACGTGGAGAATACTGCTGCCTGGTCCCACCCACATCTGGGGGCTGCCCAGGCAACGGAGTGTTTGAAACCTCTCAGGTGATTCTAATGTATAGACAGAGTTTTGAACCCCAGCCCTGGGCTCTATAATTTATGCCTGCTTCCCATACAAAGAAACGGAAGTACAGAGAGGTTAAGTCATTTGTCCAACTTAACATTTACCAGTGTAGGAGAAAATCAGCTTTCAAGTACAGAGCAGGGTCTATGGAATTGGACCCGACAATCCATGTCCCTTTTCTTGAGAGTTCCCAGGGATGCAGTGCTGTTGTTTGTATGTAACAACTCTACAATGATGTACTTTCTATTGGACTGGGTATCCTTGGCGAGCCGAGGGCTTTACCCAAACTATGCCTCGCGGGAGGTTAGATCAGCGCCAGCTGCCTTGGCTGGAAAGTCAATCCGTTTTGCTTTCTTTTAAAAAATATTTTTATTGATTTTTAGAGAGAGAGGACGGGAGAGGGAGAAAGAGAAACATCAATGGAGAGCTACCTCCTGCTCGCCCCCTACTGGGAATCTAGCTCACAGCCCAGGCATGTGCCCTGACTGGGAATCAAACCAGCAACCTTTTGGTGCAGAGGAGGCGGCACCAAACTGAGCCATACTAGCCAGGGCCATCCCTATGCTTTCTGATAACTCTGGTGGCCTCATTTGAGTTTGACCCATGATGGCTAAGACTTAAATAATAAGCCCAAATCCTGCTGCTTTCAAACGCAATCCTATCACCTTCTTGTAATTTTTACTGTCGACTGAGGAATTCCAGATAAAATGTCCTTCAGAGAAAGACTCCTTAACTTTATTCCCACTCACAGTGTTGTCCCTTACGGGCACGAGTGAAGGCCTGGTTCCTTGTCAGGTGAGACCACATGAACAACTAATAAGAAAAGTGCCTTTTGATCATGGGGCTCAGCCTCTGCCATTGGAGCCTTTGCATTTCGCTGTGATGGGCCCACTGCCTGTCAGGAAGGCATTTCTCAGGTGTCTTCTTGTTGTAATTTTCTCTGGGTTCTTTCTCTTCTAAAGTAAGTTGCCTATTAACTGCCCCTAAACAGTTCTCGCCGGGTTTTTGGGAGCCATTTATTAGATGGGGAGTTTCAAACGGTAGCCTGCTCAGAGACTCTCCACCTCTGCAGGCACCTTGCTTGGCATCTTTCAATCTCCTCAGGATGGAAAATCAAAGGCACTGCCTCCAGTTCCCACTGTCCTGTCCCTCATCTCCTTCACTGCACCTTCGAGTCTAATTTTCTTTTCATTATTCTATGTATTTGTCGCCAGTCTTTGCTGATAAACTCCATAAAGGCAGGGAGCTTGTATCTATCTCACTGCTAACCCCAATTCTTAGACTAATGCCTGGTATGTAGAAGAAACTAGGCCTGGCTGGTGTGGCTCCTTCGGCTGAGCATCGTCCCATACACTGGAAGGCCAATTCCAGGTCAGGGCACATGCCCAGATTGTGGTTTGGTCCCTGAGTGGGCATTTGCAGGAGGCAGGCAATCAATGAGATGTTTTTCTCTCCCTCTCCCTATCCCTTCCTCTCCCTCTAAAATCAACAACAACAACAACAAGAAAATGTTTGTGACCTAATAACATACTGACTTTAATTCTATCCAGCATATCAGAATCGCACAGATACGCTCTGTGTGTTCCTGAGAGGGCTCTGGCAGTTCCCACCCTGTGGTGCTCAGGAAAGAGAGGGCTCCTCATGTAGCCCTCTCTGGACAGGATGTTTTACACTGGACAGGATGGCAGGACATCACGCCACACTTTATATTTCTTTTAGGTAAAACTTATTTTTAAAGAAATCAAAAAAATCTTATGTGCACCGTTCAATGAGTTTTGACAAGTGTGTACACCTGTGTGACCCAACTACCTAGGAAGATAAGAGTACATGACGACCTCCCAGATGTTGTCCCACGCCCTTCCCAGTCAACCCCTTTCAGAGGCAAACACTGTTCGGAAGGTTTTCTTCCTGGTGTAGTTCTGCCCGTTCTGGAACTTTCCATATTGGAAGCACACACTGTGGCCTCATTCACTCCCCAAAATGATTTTGACATTCACCATGTTTCTTTTCACTGCCGAGTGATATTCCACTGCACGAGTCTCACAGTTTGGTGATCTGTCCTCCTGTTGATGGGCTTCTGGGCTGCTCCCAGTTTTTGGCTATGGCGAATAAAGCTGCAATGAACATTCTGTACAAGTCTTTTTATGGGCACGCACTTCCATTCCTCTTGGGTAAATACATAGGAATGGAATTGCTGGGTCAAAAGTATGTGTCGTTTCAAAAGAAACTACCAGACCTTTTCCCCAAGTGGCTGTATTATTTTGTTTTTCCACCGATAACGTATGAAGATTCCTACATCACCAACATTTGTATTGTCAGTCTTTTAGTGTCTGAGCCATTCTCGTGGGCGTGCAGTGGTGTCCTCTTGTGGTTTTAAATCACAGTTTGCTGATACTGAATGCTGATGAATAATGTGGGAAAAATTTTCATGTGCTTATTGGTACACTTGTTTATCTTTTCCTGTGAATTCTTTATTCAAATACTTTTCCCATTGCAAAAGTCAGGTTGTTTTTCTTTCAACTGCGGAACTGTCGTCAGAGTTCTCTATGTATCTTGGACACACGTCTTTGGTCAGACATTTTGTGACCATTTTCTCAGCTTCCACACTTTGAGAGACTGACATCAGACTCTATCTTCTTTGTTTTTTTTTTTCTCTATAGTTTTCGCTACTTGTCTGGGTCTGGTGTACATGTATGCCCGTCACCAGTATTTCTGGGGATATGCGGAAGCTGCTAAAAAAAGGTAAGGAGAACCCAAGAATTGATGTTGGAACAAAAACCAGTGGACAGCGTCCTGAGAGTATTAACAGCACCGGTGGCTGTGATTGCCCGAGGCCACATCTCCCCAAGTCCATGCACAATTAGGCACCAGACAGGAAAGTTCAAGTATAAAAGTGTGTACTAAGTGTGCACTCTTTGATCATCACACTTTCTTTTAATATATCTTTATTGGTTTTAGAGAGGAAGGGAGAGGGAGAGAGAGAGAGAGAGAAACAGCAATGATGAGAAAGAATCATTGATTGGCTGCCA